ATCAAAAATAGGGGTTTCCATTAAAATTAGGTTTACCCTGCAATGACTTTGAAAGGTCAAATCCAGGATCACTATATTTGAAAAGAACATGACCATGAAGTGGCCTTGAAGGTGAGGTTCAAGATCAAATCCACGGTCACTAGTCAAAGTTTACTAAAGAACGACCTTGATAGTTATTTTCTTCATTCATCTTGTAAGATTCATAGTGCTTTTCCTAGCACCATACATTTGACCTCCATTTGACCTTGAGAGGCTCCCATAACCTTGGTCGTATTTGAATGCAAAATTTTCCGCCCTCTCGATTATTGCCATCAAAAATAGGGATTTCCGTTAAAATTAGGTTTACCTTGAAATGACCTTGAAAGGTCAAATCCAGGATCACCATACTTGAAAAGAACATGACGATGAAGTGGCCTTGAAGGTGAGGTCCAAGATGAAATCCAAGATTACTAGTCAAAGTTTACTGAAAAACGACCTTGATAATTATTTTCATCATTCATCCTGTAAGATTCATAGTGGTTTTCCTAGAACCATACATTTAACCTCCATTTGACCTTGAGAGGCTCCCATGACCTTGGTCGTATTTGAACGCAGAATATTCCGCCCTTTCGATTATTGGCATAAAAAATCGGGATTTCCATTAAAATTAGGTTTACCCTGAAATGACCTTGAATGGTCAAAACCAGGATCACTATACTTGAAAAGAACATGACCATAAAGTGGCCTTGAAGGTGAGGTTCAAGATCAAATTCACCGTCACCAGTCAAAGTTTACTAAAGAACGACCTTGATAGTTATTTTCATCATTCATCCTGTAAGATTCATAGTGGTTTTCCTAGCACCATACATTTAACCTCCATTTGACCTTGAGAGGCTCCCATGACCTTCGTCGTATTTGAACGCAGAATATTCCGCCCTTTCGACTATTGGCATCAAAAATAGCGATTTCCATTAAAATTAGGTTTACCCTGATATGACCTTGATAGGTCAAATCCGGGATCACTATACTTGAAAAGAACATGACCATGAAGTGGCCTTGAAGGTGAGGTTCAAGATCAAATTCACCGTCACCAGTCAAAATTTACTAAAGGACGACCTTGATAGTTATTTTCATCATTCATCCTGTAAGATTCGTAGTGGATTTCCTAGCACCATACATTTGACCTCAATTTGACCTTGAGTTTCTCCCATGACCTTGGTCGTATTTGTACGCAAAATTTTCCGCTCTTTCGATGTTGGCATCAAAAATAGAGATTTGCTTTAAAACTAGGTTTACCTTCAAATGACCTTAAAAGGTCAAATCCAGGATCACTATACTTCCATACTTGAAAAGAACATGAGCATGAAGTGGCCTTGAAGGTGAGGTTCAAGATCAAATCCACGGTCACTAGTCAAAACTTACTAAAGAACGACCTTGATAGTTATTTTCATCATTCATCCTGTAAGATTCATAGTGGATTTCCTAGCACCAGACATGTGACCTCCATTTGACATTGAGAGGCTCCCATGACCTTGGTCGTATTTGTACGGAAAATTTTCCGCTCTTTCGATTGTTGGCATCAAAAATAGAGATTTGCATTAAAATTAGGTTTATTTTGAAATGACCTTGAGAGGTCAAATCCAGAATCACCATACTTCCATACTTGAAAAGAACATGAGCATGAAGTGGCCTTGAAGGTGAGGTTCAAGATCAAATCCACGGTCACTAGCCAAAATTTACTAAAGAACGACCTTGGTAGTTATTTTCATCATTCATACTGTAAGATTCATAGTGTTTTTCCTAGCACCATACATTTGACCTCCATTTGACCTTGAGATTCTCCCATGACCTTGGTCGTATTTGTACGCAAAATTTTCCGCTCTTTGGATTGTTGGCATCAAAAACAGAGATTTGCGTTAAAATTAGGTTTACCTTGAAATGACCTTGAGAGGTCAAATCCGGGAGCACCATTCACTTGCTTGTTTAAAGTTACCAAAGACCTGACCTTGATAGCCGTTTTCATTACTGATCCTGTGAGATTTATTGAGGTTTCCATAGCAACACACATTTGACCTTCATTTGACCTTTAGTAGTCATCCTGACCTTGGACTTTAATTGGGTTTGAACGTAAAATTCCTTATTCGTTCGATTGTAGGTATCAAACATATGGGTTTTTATTAGAAAAAAATATGGTGACCATGAATTAACTTTGAAGGTGAAGGTCAAATTCAAATTCAAGGTCACCGTGACATGACCTTGATCTTTTCCAGAAATACCTCACCCGAGAAAATATAGAGCCGTTCCCGGACTTTGGTGATACGCTATATAGTTTGTAACAAAGGACCGTTGTTTTCAGTCTATTTATGATGATAATCCACGTATACCAATGAATCGTGTTGGTTACTATTAATATATCGAACCGATAGCTTGTAATTCCGAGCCCCGTCTATGATAAATCTGCGTCCGTCAAGTTTCCTGTCTTTATAACGCGCTCCATTGATTTTTATTGTATCTTTGCGAAAAGTTTTTCCATAGGAACGATGTAATAAGGGAAAATGTGTTTGGCTGGAAAAAACTTAGAGATGAAGACCGGTACTCCGTCGACGAAGCTCGGCAACTTTCTCATTACTTTAAATCCTATAAAATTCATATCGGAGACGTCCGCGTCTCCTGGGAAGCTTATTGAGGCCTAAGCGTAGGCATAAGTTAGTTGAAAAATGTTGAGTGCCAGTGACTTTTTAATGGGAAAGGATCCTTCGCTATTACAGTCAAAGATTCACGAAATGTTTATAATCGCCAGGAGCGAGGTGCATAGTGGGGGCGAATGACTTGATCGCTGCGTATGAGTTGAACAAAACAGGCCCAAACGCTGCCACGATTTTTTTAGAAATAAGAGGAAATGGTGGTGTGATTCCTCTTTCCTCTTTTTGAATTAATGAATTAATAAATTACTGTAAATGAAATCTAAAGGTCAGGCAATGCAAAACAGCTGTCAAGTGGCGAGGAAATTTAGACCCTAGTTCAATAAAGCGGAGAGTAGGGGAGGGTTAAGAGCGCCAGTGACTCAAGACGGATTAGGCCACAAATCCTCGAGATGTACTTATCCTATTAGAAAATGGACGGGGTAGTACCCAAACCAGCACAACTACACGTAAGGTACAACATAAAAGGGAAATACTTCGTAATCTGGTGTTTGGGGCGTTAACATCCCAAAATCTGGAAGCTATCGAAAAAACGCCCACACACAACCAAAATCACAGCGGAAAATAAAAAGATGGCGCTGGACGGTCTGCGCACGCAACCCCTCTAAAACAAGGTAACTCGATCGTAAATCAAATATTCGTATACGGTTAGTACGTGTCGAAATCACAAGGTGGCTACCAATGGGCAGACTGTAGGCAGAACCCATTCTCTACGAGGGACCAACAAAATTTTATAAGGAAATTTCTGAGATAGTCGTTAATAATACTATAACCTTAGTATCTAAAAGATTTCAACACAATACTGAGTCGCTGAGAAAGGAAGATATAATACGTGTGAAATATTATACAATCAATCAATTATGAAATTTGCCATTAAGAAGGGTTTGGCCTAGGAATTTGGCCCGTGACAAAACTAACGCCACTTTCTTCACTGTCCTAAGTATCGAGCATTTCTCGAGACTATGTTATCCCTTCAATCATGTCCTGTATCTCATAGTACTCGGTATTGATGGTCATTAACAGATATTTATTGTCCATTTTACACCAGTTCAATAACATCGTTAACCTTAATTTCCTGCCTGATGCAGTGACTGAGAAACTAGCAAACAACAGACTATTGGCTGAAAGATCGTCGAAGTAATCGAGCCATTTAAAATAATTTTTTCTCTCGTTTTATGGGAAAACTTTAGAAACTTTGCGTTCCGATGCCGCGAGGGGCTTATGAATTACTCAGAAATAGTTTTTATATGTTTTGGAAGAAAATATACTCCGTCTTCATCTGTAAAAGTTTTATTGATCAAGTGAAATGGATGGTGGAATGTTCAGTAATGTCAGTTCGTCAAGTTTGAGAGCCATTTGGAGAAAATTGATGTTAAGCTGTCATATGAATGGAACTTGCTTACAGAAAAAAGTTTTTCATTTAAGATATTTGACTGTGATAAAAATGAAACATTATGATCATCGTAGATATACTAAGTGACATATAAATCCGAACACCCAGTTTAAATGGTTTTATTTCAATAAAAGTTCGTGAATGTATTTATTTTACTGTAAATAACAAGTGAAAAAATTTTCAGCCTTATCAGTTGGACATTCCGGTTTTTATACTGTTTTTTTTTAATTCACTAACGCTCTAAA